TCATTCCTATATTGCTCCGCCCACTCTTTTTTTTTAGTAAGACACGTCAATCATTCCTATATTGCTCCGCCCACTTTTTTTCTAGTAAGAGACACAGTCATTCCTCTATTGCTCCGCCCACTGTTTTTTCTAGTAAGACACGTCAATCATTCCTATATTGCTCCGCCCACTCTTTTTCTAGTAAAAGACACGTCGGTCATTCCTCTATTGCTCCGCCCACTGTTTTTTCTAGTAAGACACGTCAATCATTCCTATATTGCTCCGCCCACTCTTTTTTTCTAGTAAGACACGTCAATCATTCCTCTATTGCTCCGCCCACTGTTTTTTCTAGTAAGACACGTCAATCATTCCTCTATTGCTCCGCCCACTGTTTTTTCTAGTCAGACACGTCAATCATTCCTATATTGCTCCGCCCACTCTTTTTCTAGTAAGACACGTCGGTCATTCCTCTATTGCTCCGCCCACTGTTTTTTCTATTAAGACACGTCAATCATTCCTATATTGCTCCGCCCACTCTGTTTTTCTAGTAAGACACATCAATCATTCCTATATTGCTCCGCCCACTCTGTTTTTCTAGTAAGACACATCAATCATTCCTATATTGCTCCGCCCACTCTTTTTTTCTAGTAAGAGACACGTCAGTCATTCCTCTATTGCTCCGCCCACTGTTTTTTCTAGTAAGACACGTCAATCATTCCTCTATTGCTCCGCCCACTGTTTTTTCTAGTAAGACACGTCAATCATTCCTATATTGCTCCGCCCACTGTTTTTTCTAGTAAGACACGTCAATTATTCCTATATTGCTCCGCCCACTTTTTTCTAGTAAGACACGTCAATCATTCCTATATTGCTCCGCCCACTCTTTTTTTCTAGTAAGAGACATATCAGTCATTCCTCTATTGCTCCGCCCAGTTTTTTTCTAGTAAGACACGTCAATCATTCCTATATTGCTCCGCCCACTCTTTTTCTAGTAAGACACGTCAATCATTCCTATATTGCTCCGCCCACTCTTTTTCTAGTAAGACACGTCAATCATTCCTATATTGCTCCGCCCACTCTTTTTTTCTAGTAAGAGACACAGTCATTCCTCTATTGCTCCGCCCACTGTTTTTTTCTAGTAAGACACGTCAATCATTCCTATATTGCTCCGCCCACTCCTTTTCTAGTAAGACACGTCAATCATTCCTATATTGCTCCGCCCACTCTTTTTTTCTAGTAAGAGACACAGTCATTCCTCTATTGCTCCGCCCACTGTTTTTCTAGTAAGACACGTCAATCATTCCTATATTGCTCCGCCCACTCTTTTTTTCTAGTAAGAGACACAGTCATTCCTCTATTGCTCCGCCCACTGTTTTTTCTAATAAGACACGTCAATCATTCCTATATTGCTCCGCCCACTCTTTTTCTAGTAAGAGACACGGTCATTCCTCTATTGCTCCGCCCACTGTTTTTCTAGTAAGACACGTCAATCATTCCCATATTGCTCCGCCCACTCTTTTTCTAGTAAGAGACACGTCGGTCATTCCTCTATTGCTCCGCCCACTGTTTTTTCTAGTAAGACACGTCAATCATTCCTATATTGCTCCGCCCACTCTTTTTTTCTAGTAAGACACGTCAATCATTCCTATATTGCTCCGCCCACTCTTTTTTTCTAGTAAGACACGTCAATCATTCCTATATTGCTCCGCCCACTCTTTTTTTTTAGTAAGACACGTCAATCATTCCTATATTGCTCCGCCCACTTTTTTTCTAGTAAGAGACACAGTCATTCCTCTATTGCTCCGCCCACTGTTTTTTCTAGTAAGACACGTCAATCATTCCTATATTGCTCCGCCCACTCTTTTTCTAGTAAAAGACACGTCGGTCATTCCTCTATTGCTCCGCCCACTGTTTTTTCTAGTAAGACACGTCAATCATTCCTATATTGCTCCGCCCACTCTTTTTTTCTAGTAAGACACGTCAATCATTCCTATATTGCTCCGCACACTGTTTTTTCTAGTAAGACATGTAAATCATTCCTCTATTGCTCCGCCCACTGTTTTTTCTAGTAAGACACGTCAATCATTCCTCTATTGCTCCGCCCACTGTTTTTTCTAGTCAGACACGTCAATCATTCCTATATTGCTCCGCCCACTGTTTTTTCTAGTAAGACACGTCAATCATTCCTATATTGCTCCGCCCACTGTTTTTTCTAGTAAGAGACACGTCAGTCATTCCTTTATTGCTCCGCCCACTGTTTTTTCTAGTAAGACACGTCAATCATTCCTATATTGCTCCGCCCACTCTTTTTCTAGTAAGACACGTCGGTCATTCCTCTATTGCTCCGCCCACTGTTTTTTCTATTAAGACACGTCAATCATTCCTATATTGCTCCGCCCACTCTGTTTTTCTAGTAAGACACATCAATCATTCCTATATTGCTCCGCCCACTCTGTTTTTCTAGTAAGACACATCAATCATTCCTATATTGCTCCGCCCACTCTTTTTTTCTAGTAAGAGACACGTCAGTCATTCCTCTATTGCTCCGCCCACTGTTTTTTCTAGTAAGACACGTCAATCATTCCTCTATTGCTCCGCCCACTGTTTTTTCTAGTAAGACACGTCAATCATTCCTATATTGCTCCGCCCACTGTTTTTTCTAGTAAGACACGTCAATTATTCCTATATTGCTCCGCCCACTTTTTTCTAGTAAGACACGTCAATCATTCCTATATTGCTCCGCCCACTCTTTTTCTAGTAAGAGACACGGTCATTCCTCTATTGCTCCGCCCACTGTTTTTCTAGTAAGACACGTCAATCATTCCCATATTGCTCCGCCCACTCTTTTTTTCTAGTAAGACACGTCAATCATTCCTATATTGCTCCGCCCACTCTTTTTTTCTAGTAAGACACGTCAATCATTCCTATATTGCTCCGCCCACTCTTTTTTTCTAGTAAGACACGTCAATCATTCCTATATTGCTCCGCCCACTCTTTTTTTCTAGTAAGAGACACAGTCATTCCTCTATTGCTCCGCCCACTGTTTTTTCTAGTAAGACACGTCAATCATTCCTATATTGCTCCGCCCACTCTTTTTCTAGTAAAAGACACGTCGGTCATTCCTCTATTGCTCCGCCCACTGTTTTTTCTAGTAAGACACGTCAATCATTCCTATATTGCTCCGCCCACTCTTTTTTTCTAGTAAGACACGTCAATCATTCCTCTATTGCTCCGCACACTGTTTTTTCTAGTTAAATACGTCAATTATTTCTATATTGCTCCGCCCATTCTTTATTCTAGTAAGAGACACCGGTCAATCATTCCTTTAATGTTTCGCTCTCTTCATTGGAGTAAGAGACACCTGTCAATCACCTATCTAATGCTCCAACCACTCTTTATTCTAGTAAGAGATACCTGTCAATCATTCCTCTAATGCTCTGCCAACTCTTTAGACTAGTAGGAGGCACCTGTCAATCAATAATTGGAACCTCCTCCCACTATTTGTGTAAAAGACACTTGTCAATCATTTCACTATTGCTCCACCCACTCTTTAATAGAGTAAGAGACACCTGTTAATCATTCCCCTAATGCTCCACCCAATTTTTATTTGAGTAGGAGACACCTGTCAATTATTACTCTAATGCTCCGCCCATTTTTTATTTGAATAAGACAATAATTCCTTTAATTCTCCTCCCATTCTTTATTCTAGTAAGATACATGTCAATCATTCCTCTTTTGCTCCGCCCACTCTTTTCTAGTAAGTGACAACTGTCATTCATTCCTCTTTTGCTTCACCCAGTTTATTCTTGCAAGGGAAACTTGTGAATTATTCATCTAATGCTCCTCCCACTGTTGAGTAAGAGACACCTGTCGATCATTCCTCTAATACTCCCCCAACTCTTTATTCTAGTAAAAGACACCTGTCATTTATTCCTCTATTGCTCCGCCCACTCTTTATTCTATTAAGAGACACCTGTCAATTGTTCCTTTTTAGCTTCGCCACCTCTTTATTTGCATAAGAGACATCTTTCAATCATTCCTCTAAAGCTCCGCCCACTCACCCGGTTTGAATCTCCATCCACGTTCCATTTGGGCCGAACCACGTAGTCTTTATTGGATGGCATTGGCACTCGAGCTCTGGCACAGAAGCCTGGGTCACCCGGACGCAACGCCCTGACACACACACACACACACACACACACACACACACAGAAAATAAATCAATCAATAAACATTGTCTGAGAAGTTAGTGACTTTAATAAATAAAACATTCATGAAAATTGAACAATTATAATTATACAAATATTAATTTCTTCAACTAGAATGATTCATTTTAAAATATATATAATAAACAATTCTATACTTCATATTTACATTAGAGCATCATAATGTCATTATAGTAATAAAATATTCAATTGCATTTAAAATATTAGCAAACATTTTTTATGTAACAATACAATTATTAATATATTATTAATAAAATATAACTATTAACAATATTCAATTAAATGTATAATTGTATTTTTATTTTTCTAAAGTTTCATCAAGCTTTAGAATCCACCAGTTGATCTGTGTGTGTGTGTGTGTGTGTGTGTGTGTGTGTCTTACTTCTCCTCTCCTGTGAGCACCTTCTCCAGATCCCTGCGAGGAGTCTGACCTCCTGAACTGTGGAGAAACACTAGGTTAATCAATCAATCAATCAATCAATCAATCAATCAATCACAGCTGATCGCTCATGTGACTCTTGCACTCAGCAAACATGCGGTCAGTGTATAAGTGCTTGCACTGATCACCGGATAAAATCAAGTTACTCGCATACAATGTAAAAAATGTTGTATTGAAGAAAATACATTTTAAACTTCTGTAAAATTGCAAGACTGCTATTAGCAATAAAAATACTCATTTCAATTGCAAACAAAATTATACACTTTAATTGTTACTGTTCTTGTATTGTTCTTGTATAATTAGAAAATTATATAATATAATGTAATTAAAATAATTGATTAACCGTTAACCAAAAGGATGCGTTTGTAACCGATTAATGGTATCAGTTAGACGATCAAAAAAATTCTATTTTATATATTTAACGTTCGGCTGCATAAGGGGTCAATCACAGCCAATGCGTTTTTTGCATTGAGAGGCACATCTTTTAAATGGTTTACCCACGGATGCGAGTGTTTTGCGTGCTGCTTATGCACCTCACGTTTTTGCCGTTGCGCACTGTGCTTGTAAAAATAGTAGTTATACCGAGTATTGTTTTTGTTATACATTAAATTACCCAATGTGCAGTGTTTGTGTTGTCAAGATGACTACAGAGAACTTTTAATGACAAAGAAAAGACTAGTGGTCACTGTTTCAAGTTACCTAGAGCTGTATGACTATAAAATGTCACTCGTACACAATACAAAGCTGATTCAGTCATTTCCTAGTGACATAAAAAAAAAAAAAATTAAATTATGAGCACAACGCTTATTTTTTCTTGTCAACAATTTAATTTATATTCAATTCAATTTAATTAATAATTTAGGAGTAAGTAACTGGTTGATTATATGGATCAGAGAGTTTTTAAAAAACCGACCACAACGTGTCTGTGTTAATCATGCTATGTCTGACTGCTCTGTTTTAAATATAGGGGTACCTCAGGGATGTGTACTATCACCTCTTTTATTTTCTATATATATTAATGAACTGCAGTGCAATATTGATGACAATCTCACACTCATAAAATATGCTGATGATCTGGCATTGGTTTCCTGTCAGGAAGAAATGAATAGCTCTTTATATTTTAGATATATTGATAGTATTATAGATTGGTTTGGCAAAAGTTCATTACACCTAAATATTGGGAAAACAAAAGAGTTATGTCTGGGGAGTCAAACAAGAAGAGTAGATACTGGACTCTTTAAACCAGTCACCATAAACGGACAAATAGTAGAGCAGGTTTTAAATTTCAAGTATTTAGGCACAATTATTGACAATAAACTGAATTTTAATAGTAATGTAGAGGCGGTTTATAAGAAAGCAAGTCAGCGCCTCTATCTCCTCCGCAAATTGAGAAGTTTTAATGTTAGTACACAGACTTTAAACTTGGCATATAGATCACTGATAGAGAGTGTTCTCACATATAATATTGTTTCATGGTTTGGTAACACAACACTTAAACAGAAAAAGAAATAAGCGCAAATTATCAATCAGGCAAACAAGATAACTGGTCACAAACAGCATTCATTGCAGATTTTATTTGACTCTTTTATGGAAAAAAGAGCAGTTGTGATTTTTAAAGATAATACACACCCCCTTCACTCAGCATTTAAATTGCTACCATCAGGACGCAGGTTTAGAATTCCTAAAGCACGAAGAAATGCCTATAAAAAGTCATTTATCCCAATGGCAGTTGTTGTTCTAAACCGGATCAATGTTTGTAGTGAATGAGGTGGTTACCAAGTATGATTTGCAGTATTGTGTATGGGGCTAATTTGGTTTTTAAACTTTTAACTTATGTTGTTGTGTTGATAAGTGTTATTGTGTCGTTGTTGTATGTTTGTAATTGTTGTCCTAAATCCAGTGTTGAAGAAAAATTTCCTTTCTGTGTCAAGCAGAACGGACAATAAAGTTTAAACTAAACTAAACTAAACAATAAAGGCAGTGTGGTGCACCTCATGTTTTTGCCACAGAAATACTTTACAAAATGTCACCATATGAGCCTCGTCAATGTCTTTTATCACAGGCAGTGCACGCACATGAATCACGAGAGACTCTCTGCACACACACCCGTGTTAGAAACAGTGCAGATCTTGCTCAAACACACACACACACACACACTGTGAACCTGCGTGGAGAAGCAAAGACGTCCGACTCGAGGGGCCTGTCAGTCGTCTGAGGCTCACTTACACACACACACACACACACACACACCCACACCCACCCACCCACCCACCCACACACACACACACACACACACACACACACACACACACACACACACACACACACACACACACACACACACACACACACACACACACACACACACACGGAAAAGGGGACAGCGTGAAGAAAAGGACGAACAAGATGGAGAATGTGTGTTATAAGTGTGTGTGAGAGTGTGTGTTAGTGTTGTTAGTGTATGTGCATTACAAGTATGAATGTGTGCACATGTCTGTGTGAGAAAGAGTGTGAGTGTACAATCACCTGTCTCTGTGTGTGTTTGAGAGAGTGAGTGAGAGAGTGTGCAAATGTATCTGTCTGTGTGTGTGTAAACATCTGCCGGTGTGAGATTAAGTATGCACATGTCTGTGTAAGTGTGTATGTAAATGTGTAAACGTTTGAGTGTTACTTTGTTTCGCTGTGTGTGTGTGTGTGTGTGTGTGTGTGTGTGTGTGTGTGTGTGTGTGTGTGTGCGCGCGCAAACATCTGCCGGTGTGAGATTGAGTATGCACATGTCTGTGTAAGTGTGTATGTAAATGTGCAAACGTTTGAGTGTTACTTTGTTTCTCTGTGTGTGTGTGTGTGTGTGTGTGTGTGTACCTAAGGCGTCTGCGTGGGGCGATCTGCTGGTCGAGGTCTCTCTGCTGCCGCTCTTCTCTCGTCATGCCTTTATAGTTGGACGTTAAGCCAAAGATGGGCCTTGACCACTCGTCTGCACACACACGCACACGCACAAGTGAGAAACTGAAGAAACACACACTCCTCAAGCAGACAGACAGAAGAGCTCTTACTGATGAGTTTGAGCGCCAGGTCTTTGTTTGGCCGGGACTCTTTGGGGTGTTTGTAGAGGTACATGACGGCCCGACCGATACCACTGAACTTCAGCGTCTCCTGACTGACACTCGGCAGCTGCGCACACACACACACACACACACACACACACACACACACACACACACACACACACACACACACACACACACACAAACACACAAACACACACACACTTCATATTACAACACTTCTTATTAACTCAGCTCTCACAAATATATTAAAACTAATACAAATTAAAATAAATAATTATTAAATGCACTTAAAATTACAGACATTAGTCAACATTCAAAGTAATTCAAAAGCAGAATGGGTGTCGTTCAATATTTTAAGATGGCTTTAATGAAAGGTGATGAACCACTACAAATGTTGACTACTATATATACAAATACACTACCTGACAAAAGTCTTGTGGTCTATCCAAGTTTTAGGAACACAAATAATAACTGGACTTCTAGTTGATGATTTGGTGTCAGAAGTGTCGTATATGAAAGGCAGAGGCCTCTAGATTTTGCTTATTTGAGCTCAATAAAATCTGATCATGTCTTGATGTTGACTGATTTGATGAGGACAGTGCGGTCTGACTCTGCTCAGACTAAAGTCTCATCACTGAACAGAAATAATGTCCAGTATAGAATATAAAGTCCTGCTGCAGTGGAGACAGAATGAATATTGTGTCTGACTCCATCATGAGCTTGGAGGACTGCATCCATACATCTCTGACATGACTCACATCACTGATTAATAAAGTCATCTGGAATGAAGAAGAAAGCCTTCAGCAGGATCCCAGAGTTCATCAAGACTCTTTGTGTTCATCTTCAACACCTCCTCCATCTTACCCCAGACATGCTCAATAATGTTCATGTCTAGTGACTGGGCTGGCCAATCCTGGAGCAGCTTGACCTTCTCTGCTTTCAGGATCTTTGATGTGGAGCTGAAGTATGAGCAGGAGCGCTATCCTGCTGGAGAATTGTCCCTCTCCTGTGGTTTGTAATGTAATGGGCAGCACAGATGTCTTGATACCTCAGGCTGTTGATGTTGATCATCCACTCTGCAGATCTCTCGCACGCCCCCATATTGAATAAACCCCAAACCATGATGTCTCCTTCACCAAACTTGACTGATTTCTGTGAGAATCTTGGTCCATGCTGGTTCCAGTAGGTCTTCTGCAGTATTGGTGATGATTGATGCAGATCAACAGATGATTCAGCAGAGAAATCCACCTTCTGACACTTTCACACACGATCAGCTAGAAGTCAAGTATTATTTGTTGCTCTTACAACTGAGATCCAGGACAAGACTTCTGTCAGGTAGTGTAGATATACAAGTTATACATTTCATAAACAATCTAGATAAATTTGTTATTTCTTTATCCCAATCATAATGTCTGAATAAGTGAGCCACTTTACATACATTTTAATTTTCCTAAAAATATAATAATCATTTAAATTATAAAATGTAATGCATTAAAAATGTATAGTAATATAATGATAATTGCAAATAATAATAAATAGTTGAGGTTTTTTAAAAAATAAAAACAAAGTTATTCAATTTTAATGTTGATGAACAATATTAAAACAAAAAA